TGCAGGCCCTCAGCGTGACCTTTCAGTGAGCGCTGCTGTGTGCAAGACACCAGATGGAAGTGCAGAGACTGCACTGCCACAAATATCTCGCTGCTAATATATGGCCTGTAACATGTTATTTCCTTTGAATGAAGCTGTAAACAGGAGTGCTGAGTTTGCTGCCAAGCCAGGATCCTGTCCAACTGCAGATGGATTGTATCCCAGATCTGACGACTGTGAGTTGGATATAGCCTGTCCAGGCTGGCAAAAATGCTGCCAGAGATTCAGCGGCTCTGTCTGTCATGATCCTGCAAGTTAGTATACATCCTGATTATCAGAGTTTACAGCTAGTTGTGTTCATTGGCTATATTCAGTCTTAAACTATAGAGGAGCACAGTTATCCACAGACGTCTGTTTTCACTGGAACTACAGATGGGTGACAAATTAAAGGAAAAACCTGAAAGCCTGNAGAACGACGATTTCCCTGAGGTGCCCTACCAAAGGGATCAATAAAGTTCTATCTAATCTCATCTAGTTTGGTTTCAGTTTAAACTGAGCAACTTTGCAGCGTGATTTTGCTCCATGTTGAGTCACACGTGTTACCGTAAACCCGACTGAGGCCGGAAGCCGAGTGATGACTCTTAACTGAAAACTAAATATTTAGAGAAATTAAGTGCTTTTTTTTCTTTCACTTCCCTTTTTACACTCATTTAAAGAGATGTTTTTCTACCTTTAAAAAAATAAAAAATAAAAAATTGGAGAGACCTTTTCCCATCACGGTGTGAGAACTGGTCTGTTCACAAGGCAGCAAAATAAAACAGGTGAGTCATAAAATCACCACATTTCAAAAGATAAAAATAAATTTGGTGTATGAAATCTAATTTTTGAAAAAATGATAAAAAAAAAATATTATTAAAATAAATTCAAAGCCAGTGTAAAAAAAAAATAAATAAATAAAAGTAAAATCAAGAAAGTTTCTCTGATAAAAATATGTTTTAAGAGAAGAAATAAAAGAGGTCACTGACTGTCCCCTTTAGTTTCCAGTTATCATCCATCCATCCATCATCTCTACACCTTAATCCTCACTAGGGTCATGGGGGGCGGAGCCTATCCCAGCTGACTCAGGGTGAAGGCAGGTTCACCTGGACAGGTAACCAGTC